TCCCTTCCAACTCCTAATATTCTGTGTGTGAAACTACATAGGAATGAACTTCAGTGATTACATTGCTGCTAGTTGTGTAACATACAAATTCAGCTCAGAGATGAGTGCTTCTCTTAGCACACGCCCTTACACTTACTGTCTGCAATCCAGTTTTTATCCAGTCCATCACTAAATCAAGAGAGCCCTGCAGCATTTGCAGTGGAATAGGATAAAGTCACCAGTTTTGAATTCTAGGTCCAAAATGTATTGCTGTCACCATGAGGAACACCCCCATACACCAAATAACAACCCACATACCACTTTTTTTGCAATTACAAAGCAATGAGTTGTCCAAGATGCTTAAATATCTTGTCATATAGCTTAAAATGTAAATATTTTACATGTATTTGGACATTCAGTTTAAATTATTTTCTTTGGTAATACCTATAAATTCCTCTTTTTGAGTGCCTATACAGTAGCTGTAAGGTCAGTTACAAGCTCAGAGATAACTCACTTTAAGCCAGTAAAACAGAACAGCAATCAAAACCGAGTCATGCACTTGTCAAAATCTTGCTTTAAGAATTCTTAAATGGCCACTACTCACAAGTAGTAAAAACAGACCCCAAATCCTAACAACGCTGCCCGGCTGGAGAGGTTTATTCAATGCACGCAAGATTAGTTCGGACTATCAAACCAACCAGTAGAGGGTGCAGTAAACCTGGCAAACAATAATTAAACATACCTGAATGAGTCCTCACATTATAAATTATTTACCAAAATATTTGAGTCCTGAGCATGCCAGACCTGTATCTGTTTGAATACAGATACACTTAGTTAAAATAGCCAGCAGTGACAAGTCTGAATTAGGTAACCAAGTAGCCAAGTACAGAAATCCAATTTCATTTGTTGCTTAACAGTTGAGTTGTGGTATCAGTCCTAGATCATACAGAACCATTTTTTTGCTATTTAATACATGTGGTTTTAGCAAAACAGGTATCAGTACTGGAAACAGGTAAAGCCCTAAGCATTACTCTGCAACTACAACCTCAAATCTGTCACAGCAGCAGGATGACAAAATATGATCTTGCTTATATCAAGGTGTCAACAGTTTAAGTATAGAAAACTATACTCATAACATTAACAAAATCTATTCTGTAATATTCCCTTTTACATAAAATATTTTGGCCTTGACTCTAATTTTTGTAATTATACTCCACTATAATTTAAGTTTAAATTAGTTTCATTTAACCACAACTTCTATTTTTCAATATTTACATTATTGTAAAAGATTTCATGTTTTAGCTATTTCTACTGCAGTAACTTACATGCTTTTAAAAACTTACCAAAATCTATTAATATAGCTCTGCTACTGAAATTTTTATTCTGCAAACTGTCACATACAGGTGAGTAGAAGTGAAATTCCCACTCAGAACATCCTCTTCAGAGTCAGCTTGTGCAGTGACACTGAACCTGGAGACCCCGATTTCGCATCCTGATCACACTCTGAACAGATGATCCCATTACCACCTCTTCAAACACCTGTGCCATTATTCGTCCACACCATTACAACTGAATGAGTTTTCAGAGAGGTACTGATGACCTTTGCAAATCAGCACTTACTGTCTATGAACATTCATAACCTCCTCCATTACAAATGATTGAAACAGATTAAAGCAAGCATCCCAGCCAAGCAATTATGAGGGCAAACCAGAAAACTATCCAAAAACATTACCAAGTGCATTAAAATAAGCCAAAGCCATCTGAAACTATAGCTAACTTACGCAGCAAGTACGAGACAATGATTTGAGTGTACAAACTGCCTGTATACTAGAAATCTCTTTAAAATGTAGCTTCCTCATTTCAAACAAGTCCTATGCCTTATGCAATTAATTGAGCCATTTGCATTGTCATTTTCAGACACCAAGTATTTTCTTAGAAAGTCAATTTTTAAATTACTGAAGCAGTAATGTCAAGACGACATTCAGTGCAATAATCTTTTAAAAAACCAAGTAAGTGCAACATTGGGCTGCTGGGGAAAATACTATTTATTATACATTTAATTACAAATTTGAAATGTGTTGTGGACACATCTGCAGGGTTACAGGTGAAAAATAAAAATGTACAAAGTTATGTTCTGCATGTCTGGAGAGTGATGCTTCAAAAAAACTTCACAAAATACCAGAAGTTCATCTTTGTAAGAACAGCAAAGATAACAATGCACATAATCTTTTGCTTGGCAGATTATCTTTGTTCCCTCCCTGCACAGAGTACCTACAGTTTGTAAACAGTCTTTACAAGTGTTAACGGCTTTGAGGAATGTGTAATCACAGTTTGAAGGGATTCATCCCGGAATGAACTGTAATGCTACACAGTAGTTTCGTGTTTCCACAACCCAGTTCTAATATTGCCAGTACTGTCCGCAGTGAGCAAGGGTCCATCCTGCCCACCGCTTTTAAGCGGTCCATTCTGAATGGCTAAATTTAAGCCATAAGATTTTTGTTGGTTTTCAACTTCAACCGCTATTGGTTTCCTTAGGATATCTTTTTTGTTGTTGGTAGCTATTGATTTTTCAGTATTTCTGCTACTTTTTGGAAGTGTACTGCAAGCATCGCTGCTATCTTGTTGCGACTGGTTATATTGACGTTCTCTATATGCCAAATAGGCTCTTCTGCTCCTTGAATGCCCTTCGCTGTTGCTTTGTCGACTTTTAGGCAAGCCATTTTGCACACTTCCTTCCACACTTGTGGGAACATCATAGGCGTATTCCCTCAACACCGCGAGCCTGCTAGCGCGATGTCCCTTGCTTCTGTTCTTATGATGCCGACTTGGGTGTCCATTTGTCCGAAACTGTACCTCTAAAGGAGCTACATGCATTTTGATATCGTTATCCACTGAATGCTCTGTGAGACTGTTGTCAAGTTGAGGACCTGTGTTCAATGGCAGAGAGGTAGGGTGGCACTGAGCTGCTGCAGCTTGTAAGTTAGTTAGTTTACAACCTTGAGAAGAATTTTTCAGGCTTGATGTGCTTTTATTAGTGCATGAAGATTCTGCACTACTGTTGGTGCACTTAGGGGCCTCCCCATTGGTTCCACCGGAGCTGGAGGGCTGCACGTTCACTTGCACCGAATACGTACTCCTTCCAGGGCAGCATGTTGTTACCCAGGCGTGCCTGACATCTTCCCTGTTAACACAGTGGTGCACCATAAGAAAGGCACTGAGGCTTAAACATGTTGCCCCAAAAAAGCAGCTGAAGATCAGGTCCATGGGATAATAAAGGGAAACTGAGAGAGCTCCAAAGATCCAGAGAGCGACATACAAAAGCAAAGTAAGGCCCACTCCCAGCAGCTGTGCTTGAAAACTGTGCTCATTCTCCAACGCAGATGTAGAAACAAGTGACACCGACAGTGAATCCTGATGAGCTAGTTCCCCGTGTTCACTACCAGCCAGACGCTGCTGCTCCTCAATGGGTTCCTTAAGTTCGTATTTACGTTCAGGGTGACGTTTTAGTTGTATGAATATGCTGAGAAAATACATGCAGTTTATGAAAACTATAAAGCTAGCTGGTCCATAGAATGCTCCTAAGCTAGGTTCCCAAGTCATCCAGCAACTGGAAAAGAAACAAAACCAAAGAATTAAAATTAGTATCTTCTCACAAGTCACTTATGCTTTATCAGTTCAAAATAGTACTTTGAAATGATCTTTGCTGCACTACATTTTCTGGAAAAAAAATCAGAATTAATTGCAATGAGTACTTAGAAAAGCAAACCCATGAAAAGTTATGACAGAGCTCTCTCTTATCTGGTACTTACTAAGGAGCATTAGGTCTGCTGCCATAATTTCGGATGTTTGCTGCCGCTGTTATTCCACAAACTATGATCGGGATCCCTCCGCCAATGAGGTAGAACCTAAAAAGTAAAGCCAGTATATCAGTGGTTGCTTAGTGGCAATGGATTTTACTCAGTCACCATGAAGGAAAGGAAAACTTTCCAGGATTCCAGAAATACACAAGTTCTTTAAGAAAATAAATAGGGCGAATCAGGTTTGGGCTTTGGCAGTATAATTTTTTTTTCCTATGTCTTCCTTACTAAAATTTTTTTCCTCCTGTTGTAAACCACCTCTCTCTCACAGCTGGTCACCTCCCTCGCAGAAGGGTTAGAAGAAGCAAAAGCTGGCAGCCAAAAGGTGACAAAAAGTGACAGAAGAGAATACAGAAACTTAGTATTTCCTCCTAAGTGGCTTGTCTCTTGTTCAGATATGAATTTGCCTAAAATTATGGACACTATACTCAGAAGATCAGCCATAAGAACTCTTGTTGCATGGGGGTTTTATGTGGAAGAGTCTGGGGAGTGGTGCTAGTGCTGTTTTTATTTATTTTCAATGGACTCTATAATCTACATAGGAATCTACATACCTCTATAATCAGGCATATACCTCCTGCTTCCCTGTGGTAATAGAAACTGTACGCCTTCACAAGGACAAGGGCATACATTGATGGAATATCTAACTTCTCATTCCAGTTTCTGTGAATTCACATTGCAGTCATTAGTGGCAGATCAATAATTACTGACGATCATTCAAATTAATGGTACTCTGTCCTGCATCTTATGTTAATCCAGTCCAAATTCAATCAGGACAAGCTGTGAAAACTACAACTGTGGCAACTACAACTGTGGCATATGGATGGGGATTTTGTTTTGCTGAAAGAGACACCTATGGCAGTGGTCCTGGACCCTTCCCCTGCATTTCAGATTATTCACCAGAAGTTACTGCTGTCTCACTTGAGATACAAAATAACAGTCTAAAATAAGTCTTTCTTGGAAGTCTAGGTATACTAAATATATTACTAGGTTGCTGAACCCTACAAAGGCCAAGGTCTGCCACTAGTTTATTCCGTATTTTGATGCAGCAAATCGGGAGCTGGCCAGATGAAACAGATCTTTGTGGCAGATTTTACTCTATTTATCCTTCACTACAGATTACTAAATCACCGCCTCAGAGATGTGCCACAGCTCAGTGATGCTGATTCTACACAAGGGAAATTGTTACCGGTGGGAGAGTGAAGCAACATGGATTATTCGTAGCCGTAGTTCAGTCTGCTGTATTGAAGGAACATGTTTACAACTGGCCTTGAACCATACCAAGATACCAAGTGACAACACAAGAAAAAAGGAAAAATAAAAAACTCAACACACGTGTTGCTGTGTCTGTCTTCAGCAATTCCCAAGAGCCCAAATTACAAACCAAAACTATCATGCATCAAGGAGCTATACAAACAGAATGGTTTGTATAACAAAAACATACACAAAGTATATTAGAGGAAACACTAAGATTTTGGGGCAGAATGCTGTACAAGCTAAAACTTTCCCTTAAGTTAGATCAAAAATAGAAAAACAAATCTAATGCAGCGTAACAAGAGGTGTCATGATGATAACAGAAAAAATCCATAAATAGTGAAATGCTGTGTTTAAGTAGAACATTCACCTAATATCTGTATTATGGTAAAACAAGTATTTGTATTTTAAATAAAATTACAAAATACAAATATTAGTAGTTTTATTTCATGTTTAACATGAGGTATCCCATTATAAGGATCTTCAGCAAGGTTCTCTGTAAAGCAGTTTTTAGTTAAAAACTTGGAAATTGTTCACTTTTTTCTTGGTTGGAGGCTGCTGAACAAGGTACCATTCCTACATGACAAACTCCATTTCCTTCTTTTGGCTTGCAGCTGAGGACCTCTGTTATTTGTACACCCTCTTGCCTGGCATGGCAATGCAATATGCCAAGTTTTTCCACAGTTAAGAAATTCCAACCAGTGTCAAATGTTGCACATCTCAACATTGCTACTGTGAGCCACAGCAAATCTCTTCTCTCCTGCCTATGGCGGCTTTCTGCAGAACACCGGATCCATTTCAAAGTCTTTTTTCACCTTGTTCATGACCTGTCACGAAGTCCTGTTAACGCTGAGTGAGTAAGATCATCACTCACAAAACTGTCTTACATGCAATGAATTTCCCAGAATACAGAATAAAAGCTTATCTATGCTAGAGGGGAAGTAAGTTTAAGGTATGAAAGCTCACCCTCAGAAAATACCTACAGAAACTGAAGATCAGTGTAAATGCCATGTCTACCTATCACTGCAAGGTGGACTTCTTTAAACCAAAGAACACAAAGCAGAATAACTCATGTGTGGCAAATAAGGAGAAAACTATGTACCTGGAGACATTTATCTCTTTATTTTTTTCTGTTCCAAAAGACCTTTTGTAGTTCTGAAAAAGCACACGGAGCAGAAATATAAACCGCATGCAAGCAAGCAGAGAATTACTTGTTTCATCTCTTTAAATTCAAGAAACAGGAGCCCAGATAAAGGTAGAGGACTGGTTCTAAACTAAGAAACTCTTGCACAAAACTCTTTGCCCTGTGCCACTATGAGTAGCTTTGTTTTGAACAGAAATTTGAAAGATAACTGAATTAAAACCAAAACCTTCAATGGCTGTTCCGTGTCAAAACATCACATATCTGACTGAGAAAATCCCTGATCTGCAAGAAGTTGGACACTGAGAAAAATCAGAAAAATACAAAGCACATTTGCACTGTTCTCATACTTGTCTCCAGAGTTACTGCCATTGTCACAAATAAGGTCTCCAAATCTGAAATCATATGTACATGTTAACGTCTGTGCACAGCTGAGCCTGTGAGGCTGGTAATTTTACTGTGACATTTTGCAAAGCAAGAACTTAATGATAAATGATAAGGGATTTTTTAAAAAAACAACAACAACAAAAAAAAACAGCAACAGATGTTAAAAAAGCTACTATGTACCCTGCTGGAAGGCACACAGTTGAAGATGGGCATGATATCCTACAGTGAATACAATAGATTTACTTTTTCTTAAAAAGAAAAATAATAAAAGTTAAGGAAAGCAAAGACAGCCCTAAGTGCTATAAATATTAGCCTTCTACGCTCTAACTTATCAAATAAGTATTTCTCTATGTTTGTATATAGTACTGCAAATTTTAGTTGATGATATTCTGGTTACCTGCAATTTCTGTACTTCAAATATCAAGCTTTCTAAATAGTTGCCTACAACTAATAAAGTTAATCGACTTCTGCCACCTTGTGGAGAACTTCAGCTTAGCAGTTTTTAATTAATATCCAAAGGCTCACTAAGCTATATGAACAAAGTATGTTAATGTTTTCTAGCTTTCTATTAAAAATATTCCACGCAGGGTGAATTTCATAGATAATTAGTTTGTCCCAATTCAGTGATTTCAGAAATAAAAATTCTAAGAGGAGTGCTTCACAATGAACACTGTTTTTATTGGGTAATAACTGATACCCATTTTTCAAACTATTTATAAGCAACCTTTGGAAAACATTAAACTTTATTTACTTTAATTGGAGTGTCTATTAATTGTTTGATAGCAGTTCCCCCTCTACTCTGCCCTGGTGAGACCGCATCTGGAATACTGCGTCCAGTTCTGGGCCCCTCAGTTCAAGAAGGACAGGGAACTGCTGGAGAGAGTCCAGCGTAGGGCTACAAAGATGATCAAGGGAGTGGAGCATCTCCCTTATGTGGAAAGGCTGAGGGAGCTCGGTCTCTTTAGTTTGCAGAAGAGGAGACTGAGGGGAGACCTCATTCATGTTTATAAATATTTAAAGGGTGAGTGTCACGAGGATGGAGCCAGGCTCTTCTCGGTGACAAACAACGATAAGACAAGGGGTAACGGACACAAACTGGAACATAGGAGGTTCCACGTAAATTTGAGAAGAAACTTCTTCTCAGTGAGGGTGACAGAGCACTGGAACAGGCTGCCCAGAGAGGTTGTGGAGTCTCCTTCTCTGGAGACATTCAGAACCTGCCTGGATGCCTTCCTGTGTAACCTCATCTAGGTGTTCCTGCTCCAGCAGGAGGATTGGACTAGATGATCTTTTGAAGTCCTTTCCAATCCCTAACGTTCTGTGATTCTGTGAATTCTTTCTTCTATGATAATTTAACACTTAACTAAGTGTTGTTATCTGAAGTCCTAAGCAAAGCCCCTGTGGTGATGCCGAAATACTACCAATTTCTTAATTTACAGATCAGGAATGAAGTATTGCAACAGTAATACACTAAGACCAATTGTCCTTCAATTCATTCTCCTTAACAATGCTGAGGAACAAAAGCATCTGGAAAGGACTTTATGGACCTGGAAAGAAAATCTAAGAAAGGCACTTGCAATAAAACAGTAGTGACCTGTTGTATTTTCTGGTCAGAATATGAGCATAGTGACCTGGGAAAGAACGAAGTTGCAGACACAAACAAGCAGCTCACCTCAACATTGGTCTGGGTGGAGGAGGGGGCTCATCAGGATCTTGACATCTTTTTGCTTTCTTGGTTACTTGCTTGTAAATATTACGAGATGTCACTCCCAGCCACAGTACTGTTGCAAGAGTGGAATAATGGAGAATTATCCCAACCTTAAAAAAATAAAAAGAAAAATGAAGCCTCAAACGTTTTCTTTTCTACCAAGTTTAAAAAAATTATCATTTAACATACTTGCATAACACCTGAATTTTCAAAAGCTCAGTTCAAGAGATGAAAAAACCTCTTATTTTACTTTGACTGCTCTAGATGCCAAGTCACTGTGGTTTTCAAAAAAGTAAGATATACGTTATGTAAACTCATCTTCCTATCAGTTGAGGAAAAAAGTTCTGTTGCACTTCTGAAATACTTGCCCAGTTTTCAAGTAACAAACTAGCTTTATCTTCATGGCTGGATGAAAATACAACAGAAATCTTTAAGGCAGAAAAAATTTTTTAAAAATTGGTGATTTAGTCTAAATTTTACATTCTGAGGAAAATGCCTGTACAGTACTACTGTTCTGTAGAAGGCAAGAGGGGTGTATACATATATAGGAGTGTGAAACTGGTAACTAACTTTCCAAGTGTTTGCATGTTTACTTACTGCTTGGCAAATGCTGGCATTCGTGGTCTGAGTTATGCCTCCAATAAACATCACACATGTCAGGAAAATATGAAAGCTCAGGTTAACTAGCATATGCCAGCTTTTTACGCTGATCCTGATCACACTGTTAAAAGAAACAAATTAGACAACATAAAACACAGCTGCATTATTGTCTTTCAGAAACTAGCAAGATACACTTGCGATAAATGAGATATAATTACTGTTAATGATTGTCTGACTACCATGTACTTGGTAATCAAATATAGTCTCTGGTCTTCACGACAAGAAATTAAAACACCCTCCTATTAACTAGCTTGATACAACTATTTGTGACCTGATTCAAAAATTTTAGGCTTGAAGCTTTCACATTAACAGAAATGTAAAAACCTGAACAGTTTGTTAAAATCTACCATCATTCTTGAGCAGTCTCTTCTTTCATCATGAAGCACAAATGAAGAACTAGAAAGATACATGGCTCTGAGAGCTAAATTGTCTTATTCAGAAACAGATTAAATAGCTACTTGTTTAACTGTCAGCTTGCATCAACAAGTTCTATAGAAAAAAAAAGGCAAATTACTATATTGTGTTCTTATCAAAAAGTAGTCCTAAGTGCTATGAAATGGAATTTTTTAGTCTGGTAATTTTGATTCATACCTGTGATGGTATATGTAACTGACTATGATCATCAACAGGCACATCAGCAAAACCATGGCAGTGGCATAAGTTACTGGATGCAAAAGATCAGCTGCCTGCGTATATAATTCAGCTCCTGTCAAGTCCTGACAACAAAACCAAAATCAACATTAGTTCACCTTATCTCTTCATTTTGTGGGGGCAAGGAGAATGTCAGAGGAAACGCAAAATAAAGAAGAGGAATCTTCTAGATTAAATCCCTTTCCTCCCACCACAACCCTGACTCTCCAATTATTTATTATTTTATGCTCCTGGTTTTCTTCCACAATTACCTGCTATTCTGGCTGACCTTTATAAATGCAGCCACACAACTTAATACAACACCTAAACTTCATATATGTTTGAATATGCAGAGCAGTTAGCAGCTTACAGACACATAATTTTCTTCATAAAATACTTATATGTATAGCATGTAGAACAACTGTGTGTTTCAGTTGATTATCTTCCGCAATAATCCAAAACACATTGCAGAAAGCACCCTCAAAGTTTGCAGATGATGCTATGGACTAGGAAGACTGATCAACAGAATGGAGGATATTCAGAAGGATGTTGGTAAGGCAGAGAAATGAGCTGCTAAAACAATGAAAATCAGCAAAGAAAATGTGAAAAGATCTGAAATAAATCATGGAGTAATTCCATGCACGCAACAATACACTGGGCACTGGACTGAACAGAAAACAACCAAAGAACCACTTGAGGGTACTGGTAGACAAAAGACCACAAAAGTCAGCAGTTAGCCTGCAGCCCAAGGTCGTGTTTTGCTGTACCAGCAAAACCACAGCAAATGGGTGAATTGATTCCCTTCTGTTCAGCACTGTGAGATCACCTCTGCAGAACGATCTTCAACCTGAGGCTCCCCAGTACAAGAAAGGCACTGACTACTGGATGGAACAAGTCTAACAGATCACTGGGATGACCGGCAGCTGAAGCACACAAAGTCTGGGGCTGAAAAGCTGGGTTCATTCAACTCCAAGAAGAAAAGGAAGATAGAGGAAATCTCATTATTATATTGAATGACCTACTGGGATGGTATAAAGAAGATTGAATCAAACTCTTCTTGGAGATGAGTCATGAAATGATGAGAAGCAATGGACCTTATCAGCAACATGGAAAATTCCTGTGACAGGAAAAAAAATTCTGATGAAAGTGATTACATACTGCCTAGAGTATGTAATCTCTGACCTTGGAGATCCTCAAAGCTTGGCTGGATATGACGTGGAGCAATACAATCTGACTTTGAAGCTAATCAAACTTCAAGCAGGTAATTGGACCAAGCGACACCCAAATATTCCTACCAAACTTATTTTACAATTACTGCTTGACCAGAATAGCTAGTTGACAACTCAGAATTCAGCCGCCTTTAACACCGTTCCAAGTTTTCTGAACCAACTCATCAAAATAGCACTCAAGGAGTAAGCATGAAATGGAACCTTGGACTGTTAAAGCATGGCAGCATTTCAAGTAACATTTGAGGAGTGACATTTTCATTTACTAACAAGGATAAATAATTCTGTTTGGATGTCATTATAGTTTACTAAAATTCCATTTCTATAATGGTAATGAACACTAAAAAAACCCAAAACCCAAACAGCAACAGAAAAAACCTTCAGTCCTTTGCAGCAAAAACCAAACCAAATTTGCCTAATTAAGATCAGTGGAATAATCCATTAAAAAGAATTTTTCAGACAGACAGGATACAGAAAATTCTCTCACCTACAATTCTGAGAGAGAGTCACTCTTAAACCTCTAGAGCTGGCAAAGTTCAAAAGTATTGTGGAGGAAAGGAGAACAAATCTGGCATTCACAAAGAGCAGTAGAACATTAGGAGGAAGCTTCAGTTTGTTCTGAGAAGTCACAGTGATGCACAATCTGTTTTTAAGGTTGACGGGTAATCTGATTTCACGTACAGAAGAGTTCTTGAATTGAGACTTAGAATTAAATTAGAGTCAGCAGTCTCTTCACCACTCCTTCAGTTGTTCTTTCATCAGAATATAAATTTGTTATTCCCAACTAACTCAAACTTGTTTCTAACTAATTTAATCAGATTGCTAGTTTGATTTTTACATATTTGGTTTTCCTGGGCACCTGGAAAAAACACTTTGAGAAAGGCTTAAGATACTATGCCTCAGGCAGCTGGTGCCATCTGATTTCAACACTGTTCACAGCCTAGTGGACACCCAGCTGGAGAACCCTACAGCCCAACACTTTGGGAAGTAGCTAAATATTTAAGGAATACCAGTTTTGAGCAAGCACAGAATGAGAGCCACTGGCAGAAAAGGAAGAAAGCTGCCCTTTCTCTTTCCGCTTGTCAACAGTTCTCTATATAACTCATAATAAGATAGTGATATAATCTTACCATGTATTAATTTAGTAAGTCATTTATAGCAGCAGACTGAATATGCTCTCCATTTTTCTTCCTCCAGATGGCAGAAATGTGACCAATTTAAAGCATACTCCCTCCTTACATCCATACTGTACATACAAATGAAGTTTCATGCCATTTTAAAGAACGCTTATGTTTTAGGAAAGGATTATCTAATTTAAAGATATCAAAGAATAGAACTAAAGGATTAAAACATTTTGAAGTCATTTTAAAAAGCACCTTCAAGTAAAGTGAAATCTTGCTCTCTTTGAACTCTTTTTAAAAGCCTGGCTTTTAAATCTTAATTTTATTTGTGTTAAGCTTTTTGGTATTCTACTGTTTACTTCTCGACAGGAAAATTTTTGAAAATTTTAGTCGCAAAACAAAAATAGCAACTTCATACGCACCGATGATCATAAAGGAATCCTCTTCCATGCACAATTACATTAAAAAATACATTCAATTTCACACAGAGCACATTAAGTGCAACAAAACCCATATGAAATTTACACTGAGGTTAACAATATTTCCTAAACCTCTGACTATTTCACTCACCTTCCTACTAGCCTGCTATTTTTATGCGTCACATTTTATCAATTAGCATGTGTGGTGATGACTGGCAAGCAAGGTGGCAGTCACCATCTGTAAAAAGGGAAGCTTCCCAAGTCAAATTCTGGAAAGAGCAGCTCTGGGAACAGCCCAGGAAGAAATCCTACTTCCTAACTGAAGAGCACTGAAAGAAGGTGTCTCGTTCCCTTCAACTACCACTATCTTTCAGAACTGGTTAACCATTTTATTGACATCAATATGCTAAGATTAGAGTTCAGGTACTATTTTTTAAGAAATATTTTTTAAAATATTTTGGGTAGTGACAATGTTTTGATTCTTTTTTTTTTAATTAATGTCTTCTGGTAACAGACCTACATATTAGTGAATGAATAGCTAATTTGCAGTCAAATAGCTCTCTCTGGTTATTGATCACAGAGGAAAATACAAACAAACAAAAAAGAGAAAACACTCCTGTCAACAGACAAAGCTAACAAAAAGAAGATAGTTTGGTTTTTTCCCAACTGTTACCTTTCTTTATTTTAAATTGTCACTATTAGACTAAAGTTCATAAAAGCCCATTTGATTAAGCAGATCATTAAAATTACTTTCTATAATAAAAGTATTTTTCATGTGAAAATTCTTTAGTGTCTATTATATTCAGCAATTAATTCCACTTTGACGGCTTTCCACTTAAACCTCATCTTAAATCAACATTTATATCAACACAAGAAAAAACCGAAGATTTCTTATGTCTAGTTTTATGCAAAGTAGAACACGGAAATGCTCCTTTTCTTTAACACAAGAAAAAAAAAGCAGAACTGCATTGTGAATATGTAAAGTTCCAGAAAGAGACGTGCAATTTCTCAGTGTCATACCATCAAAACGGCATAGTTGCTGAGGGAGTAGCACTGAATGGTAGTAATATTTTCATCTGACAGAAGAATGCGACAACCATCAGATTTCCATCCCCCTTGTCCATTCAGCAGATCAAAGTCCCACTGAGCTGCAACAGCATCTGCTCCATGTGCAATGCGCCGCAGTGTCACATTTATAGGAACGTGGTGACTGGCTCGGTTCAAACCATCTGTTACAACAGAAATTTTGAGAAATTTATGTGCAAATACATGTAACACATTAGAGGCTAAAACCCTTTAATCATACACACACTAGTCAGAAACAAAGCAGCCAAAAATGATTCTTATTTTTAATGAACATAAAATAAAAGTAATAAACAACAAACCTATCTTGGTAAGAATAACTGGTGTTACAACTGTACGACGTTTCCCATCATCAGCCAAATTTGTTGAATTTCCTGTTGCTGGAAAAAGCTTTCCATTGCGAAATGCAATAAGTTGAAGCTTATAGACAGATTCATCTGCTGGTCTGATTTCTCTTTTTTGTTTTTGGGTGAAAAGGGAAGCTGGCAACTGGATGGAAGCCTCTACAATTGTGTTCTAGAAGTAAACAGATTATTAAAGAGAAAATAAAATTCTTTATAGAGATTAAATTAGCAATTGCTCCAACTGAATAATGTCAGAGACTAATGCATTGAGCAAACTATGTATTGTGACAGACCTATTTGAAAGTGTTTCTAAGTAATCCATGATAAAATAGTTGAATCAGGTTACTAAAGTCTTAACATCTTTTTAAACAGAAAAAAGTTAAAAATTCTGTAGTCACCTTACTTTTACTGAGAGTAAAGCTGAGGTTTGTATCAGTAAAGTCTGACAACAGTTTTCCAGATTTGACTATTGCCAACTAGAAGCCACAACCAGGACATGTAGACAAAGAAATGCTGTAATTGTGCACTAGTAACATTCAAAGTGAAGTGCGATATACAAACAGATTTGATAACTTGTATACAAGTTATTTTCGAGGACGCACGCAAGTAATTGCACAGAATTACAAAAATAAAATTTCAAATATACACCCTGAAGCGATCTTCAAGCAAGTTAAGTAATAAAAGCAAACTGGTACGTTGGAGAATGTAACTGAAAAAATACTTTTACAGAATATGAGGAAGTGTTTTCATTGTATGCACGCCTACACACACATATATATACACACATGCACCCAGGTAAAAGTAACTTTTCAGGCCAATTTTCTACTTCATGCTTAATTACAATATTACTCCGAGCAGAGTATTTCAGATATTTAAAAAGACTGGTAATATCTGATTTAATATGTAACAAAGATCTAAATACAGCAAAATAGAGCCAAGTATAATTATGAACTAGGGAACATACTTATGAAAAGGTCTGAAAGCAGCTTTCAACTTAAGAAGTTTTAATAAAGAGAACCACACCTACTCATTAAAAATTGTGTCCATTAAAAAACCATTCTATAATCAAACTTTATTATCGTTTGTCACTAATTATCTCTTGTCACAGTCATTCTGGATTATGTAAAAATATTATTTTAACATTAGAAATTAATAATATACACTTGCTTTCCAAATGATTCATATTTAAGAAATTATTACAAAGTCAGCAAACAAGGAGTATCTAACCTTTAAAGCCAGACTTGACAGTGTATTGGAAACATTGCACTTAAAGCTTAATTGTTTATCCAGATTTCCATCTGGATCTCTTCTCCCATAATCACTCAGTCCTGTACGGTCTGACGTAGCCACTTTCTGAAAAACGGTGCATGTCATCCCAGTGAAACCAGCAGTCTTTATTACATAAGCCTCAAGAGCAATATTTGGAGAATACTGTGATGACAAAAATAAAACATTAAATAATTTTACACACCACAGGACGAATAATAAATAATCCTAGCGGGATTCTCTGCCTTAAGAGAAAAAACCACCCAGAAAACTATTTCTATTTATCTGGCAGGGATAAATCTGTTCAGAGTACTTATCTTCACCCTACAGAAATAGTAGGCATTTCAGATAATGCCAACATCTACTAAGAAAAATAGAAAGCTACTGAAATTCAAGAGCCAGCAAAATGTCTTCTCAATATATAAATTTATACTTACAGTAGAATAAACTTGAGCTCCATTTGCAAGCCGATACATAGCAATTTTCTGTAGACACTGCACAATTCTAGTGCAAGCCTTGGCTTCCCTTTGTGCCATCCACAGAACACGTTCATCAGCTAACATAATATTACTTGCTATGTCCACCATCACATCACCAAGCTAACAGGGAAGAGAAATAAGCCTATTTTGTATCTTTGAAAGCATTCATCAAGCAGGATCATTATCAGAAAATACAAAGCGACTTGTCAACACAAAAAGCAAAAGAAAATTGGTTGTTCCTATTCCAATCACTGCTTGTCACACTGAGATACTGAAATACTTTGACTCAGACATTTACCTCCATTCAAGAAAAATGTTATGCCAATGTAATTTGTCTGTTCACACCATACTTCGAAAACAAAACCATGAGAAAAGAAATACAGGTATTTCATTAAAAGCAAAGAATGTAATACTCCACATTCTACTGTACTAAGTATTTAAAAGGACTATTTACAATCGACTTTAAACCTAAAGTAAATAAAAGTAAAATAAACTATAAATCAACAAAAATATAGTTTGCATGTATAACGGAAGAGAAGAAGAGTAACACAGGCAAAAATTAGCACACAACCTTTCTTTCTTCCTTTTGCCATGTCTGCCTTTTCTTTGATTGTTTCTTTGTTTGCCTTCAGTTTTGCATGAATCGTGTTAGGTTCCAGGTTATACACAAAAGAGACAGAAAATACCTGCAAGTACCAGAGCTGCTTTCAAACCACCAGCTACATTGCTGTATGTTATGCTCGCAATTCCTACCTTGTCTTCAGTATGACAGACAAATACAAACTTAAAAAGGGAATACATTTATTTAGGTCACAACTCTAGGAAGATGAAACAGAACTTCCTGAGTGCCATCATGCAGCACATGTGGGACAACCAGGTGATCAGGCCCAGTCAGCATGGGCTCAGGAAGGGCAGGTCCTGCTTGACTAACCTGATCTTCTATGACAAGGTGACCTGCTTAGTGAATGAGGGAAAGGCTGTGGATGTTGTCTACATAGAATTTAGTAAAGCCTTTGACACTGTCTCCCATACCATCCTCCTGAAGAAGCTGACCCCGTATGGCTTGGATAGGCATACACTTCACTGGGTGAAACACTGGATGGATGGCTGTGTCCAAAGAGTGGTGGTGACTGGAACCAGATCCAGCTGGCAGCCAGTCACAAGTGGCGTTCCCCAAGGCTCAGAACTGGGGCTACTTTTGTTTAGTATCTTTATCAATGACATGGACAAGGGAATCAAGTGCACCCTCAGTAAGTTTGCAGACGACTCTAAGTTTGGCAGGATTGTTGATCTGCCTGAGGGTAGACAGGCTCTATAGCAGGACCTGGAAAGGCTGGATTGATGGGACCTGGCAAACTGCATGAGGTTCAACAAGGTCAAGTGCTAACTCCTGCACTTGGGTCACAACAACCCCATGCAATGCTACAGGCTTGGGGAGGAGTGTCTGGAGAGCTGCCTGGAGGAGAAGGACCTGGAGGTGTTGGTAGACAGCCAGCTGAAAATGAGCCAGCAGGGTGCCCTGTTGGCCAAGAAGCCCAACAGCATCCTGGCTTGCATCAGGAATAGCGTGGCCAGCAGGAGCAGGGAAGTGATCCTGTCTCCGGCGCTGGTGAGGCTGCACGTCGAATGCTGTGTTCAGGTTTGGGCCCCTCACTACAAAAAGGACATCGAGATACTGGAGTGTGTCCAGAGAAGGGCAACAAGGTTGGTGAAGGGTTTGGAGAACAAGCCTTATGAGGAGCAGCTGGGGAAGCTGGGGTTGTTTAGTGTGGGGAAAAGGAGATTGAGGGGAGACCTTGTCATCCTCTACAACTACCTGAAAGGAGGCTGTAGTGAGGTGGGTGCTGGTCTCTTCTCTCTGGTAACTAGTGATGGGACAAGGGGTAATGGTCTCAAGTTGTACCAGGGGAGGTTTAGGGTGGATATTAGGAGGAATTTCTTTACTGAAAGGGTTGTCAAGCACTGGAACGGACTGCCCAGGTAGGTGGTTGAGTCATCTTTTAAACACCTCCAGGAATGGTGAGCAGATGTTGTGCTTAGGGACATGATCTAGTGGCAGACTTAGCAGGACTGGATCAATGATCTTAAAAGGTCTTTTCCAAGTGAGACCATCCTACGATTCTAAATTAATGAGCACCTGTATTAACAACATTAACCTACATCAGATTTTCACAACGTTAAAGAAATAGTGACAAATACTGGACTAAAAGTGAAGGTGCTTGTGTTTTCTAGTTCAATTGACTGAAAGGCAATTCACAGCGCCTAAATTTAGGGACTGGAATTTTCCGCATAAAGGTAGACTGGGTGGGGAAGACATCTCCTTTACTTTACAGGTTTCCCAATTTCTTTTCAGAATATTACTAATAAGGAGACAACACAGTAGTTCATTTCTCCTTTTTAAAAATATATAAAAATAAAGGCAAGAACAGGAATATAAAAATATTTACTGTCTCATGAACTGTCTCTTTTAGGGACAGAAGCTACACTCAGTACTCTCAACAGCTAACACAGAGCCTCAGAGCTGTAGCCCTTTTCATTAAATGCTCAAGAACAAATCAGTTACATTAATTGAAGTCGATTATTATGACTTATTACTACTTGAAAAATGGTAATATGTCTAACACATCAACAAATGGTGGTTTTACAATAAATGATCAGTATTAAGATCCTAAACTCACAGGACTCGAGTTGTTTCATACTTTTAAAAAATACTACACAGTATTCTTTCACCTGCTTATCAAGGTATGCACAAGTTTTTCCAACTGCATTCTAATTTAAGACAATCTGCTAAGAACTTTCTGAACATTTGTCTTGATTCTTCTGACATGAAAAAGCTATTAAATGAAGCTTTTCATAATACACAGTATTTCTTTCAGAATAGCCACTGCAACACAAAACTAAAGAACTGACAATAAGATGGTACAAGTGAATACAGTGTCAAGAAAAGGTTTGTAAAATAATACCATAAAAAGAAATACCTAAGTTTTATTAATAAAACTACTAAAAATTATTAAGTGAAATTGCACTCATGTTCCTTGAATATAGGAGCAAATCAAAGGTTGACTTCAAGTCAAACCAATAAGAAAAATATATATGATCTAAGACTGAAACAATTTTTTTCATATCATCTATTACCTTCAACATGGCAAAGTAATGCCAGATTGTGTCACTCTGCAGACAATAAATCACAGCCCAGAAAAGAATATCCTCGTAATGTTTCACATTGCTGCATGGTTTGTTACATGTTTCTATTTTTGAATGGCTACAAAACCAGCCATTTAATGAACTGCTTGTATAATTCCAAAATACACACCAAAAAAATCCAAGCTATGATTATAAGAAGGAGATTTAGCCTGGAAATTCTCCAAGGAGTTCTGTAAAGAATTTAGAGCCAGCATTTATGGTTTGTTGAGGGTGGATAGGGAAAATTTGGTGGTTTGTTGGTTTGGGTTTTTTTTGCACAAGTTTAAAATTGAGGCATTGTGGTCTCCAACTTCCCAACATGCACTGTACAGTGAGATCAATATAACCTCTGTTCAGCAGTGAAACAGAGAGTTTCTACCCACTGGTGGGAATATTCAACCACTCACATTTTTCTCCCCAACAATGAGCGTTCTCTAAGATTTTATTTTAACGCCTTATCTTATATCCTGCAAGATATAGGAATACTGAAAACCTTAGAGATACAGCTCAGTACTGAATAAAGACAGCATACCATGGTGGGAGGGGAGAAGATAAGTCTTGTTTTATTCACTATTGAGAGGATCTCTGAGGCTTTCATTATTTGTATTTTTAGATAAGAACATACCAATGAAAACCTGTGACCCACTCCATACTAAATAAAAACAGACTTACTGTACCTATCTCCCTGCTCCAGTGCTGACCAGAGGTGTTACTCACATTACAGGTCCAGTGAATGCTGGTTCATCTCAGCGCGAATGCAAAGTCTGTGACCATGGGTCAGCAACTTCAGGGACCTACTAAACAAACAAAAACATGGAACAGAATCTGACAATCCACTAACTCCGTGCCTGCATCTAAAGTTGAGAAGGTTTCACTGCTCACAATACTTAAGGACAAACACTTCAATTATCTTTAAAGTGATGGCAAATTATCCAGTTACCTCTTTATACTTTTCAGCAAATCTTCCAAATTTCTCTATCATTTCAGCCACAAAAATAACATCCATCTTATCAGAAAAATTTGCTGCTTCAACAGTGTAAGCCAAGAGCTGTCTCGCTGTTGCCACCGCATTAGTAAGGTTGAGCGGCATCTACATAGAGTACAAATATAAGCATTTTGAAGAAGTGAAAATTAAGTACAAGACAGAGGCAAAACTTCAGCAATTAATAAATAAGCATTTTCCCCAAAGAGGACAGCAATTCCCACAGTGATAACAATATTTTAAGTAGCCAGGGACTATCACCTTATCTGTTAGCAAAAGCATTTCCTACAAGTCAGAGAACCAGTATTTGTACCTGCAGAAACTGGGCTTTCTCCTGTTGTCCTAGAAGGGAGAGAGGTGTTGCACCAAGAGCAAAAAGACAGTACTGTGAAGTGCTTATTTTCCTATTCACCAGAGCCTAGGCACGGCAACACAAAGCTCCTAAAATATGGCATTTTGTAACAAGAGAATGCCAAAAAAAATTAAAACACATAAATGCTGTCGCATTCACTCTTGATTCTGTAATTACAGAAAGTATTTGGAAGGGAGCACACACACACAAAGACCCAATATAGACTCTCTCTATGATAAAAGCTTATAATTTCATTCCTGAAACAAGCACCATGCTGGAAAATTCTTCACTAAATAGTACACAACATCAACATGCCTGAGCTAGCAGGGACCAAAAATGGGAAACTTCACATAGTACAGTGGAAAGCTGTGCAAATGTTATCAGCTTATGTTAAGAAGCTGTTTATCCATGGTAAACCAAACTAGAGATGTTCTGTCTCTCCATCTTTCGTTGTACAGACACCTAGTCTGCCTTGTTGAATTTGCTATGTGCCACACAAGCACAACTATATATTTGTCCCTGGCTGGTCTTAGTACTTGTATGAAAATTTGAATGCAATTAATGGAAGATTTTTTATTTCAAAACACTACAAGTCATGCATTTAAAGTGTAAATAAAATTCAAAGTCCTAACACACACTGAAAAAAATGTCAACTTTCAAATTCAGATATTCTGTGTAATTGCTTTGAACATTTTCTTTAAACATTAATTTCTTTTCATCTAAAATTGTATCTGTATGTTACACAAACAAGAACAGTGAAATATAAATGTTCTTGTATAAATGTTACAAGGGTTTCACTCAATTTTAAAATTAGATCTCTACTTGATTTAAATTGCTTGGCAAAGTTCTGATGTTCAAAATGACTCACTACCTTTGTGTTCAAAGGCTCTAAAGATGCTTACAGTATTAATACATTTAATATTAATTGAAAAGAGACAATCAATTTCCGTGCAGAACGCTGCTAAAAATTCCAGAACTACTACACAGGGAGAAAGGCTCTAATGGGTAAAAACAACTCCTAAAGCCAAAATATGCCACTTCTCCCTTTAAACAAAATCAATTTGAAACCTCTATTTCAGTGTAGCATACCTGTGTACACGTATCTTTAAGTAGATAATAGGAAGTTGTCTGCTTCACACATGAAAATTATACTTCTGCTTTTCTGAAGATGCCCAATCTCATTTTAAACTTCCTAACATAAACCTGGCAACATTCTTCCACAACCTGATAACTGTCAGCTAACCAACACCAGTCACAACAGACTGAAGTGATCTAGGTTCCTGACCAGGACTCTGAAGTTGGGCTACATTTCATAGGCAGGAGTAGTGTTGAGCTCTAACAGGTCTTGCAAGAAAATGTGAATTCCCAGGTGAGGAAAAAGCAAACCAGCAGCATCAGAGCTCTTGACAAGCAAACACTCAACCTTGCTGTGTCCCACAGAGGGATCACCAGCATCATCTCCCACCTGCTAAACAGTCATTAAGCACCACTACCCTCCATTTCAGCCCTCAAACGTGTTTTTTGTGACCAAACCTTGGCACACACCTCTAGTGCTAGGAACATAAAGCAGTAGAGCACAAAAACTTAGGAGTTGGCATAATTATATCTTGGAGGAGAACAGGCAGCCCTTTCCCTTTCTCTTCCTCCCACCTTTTCTTAAACCAGTGCTCACTGGTCCTCAGGGAACCAGAGCAGGAAGATAAAAAGCTATGTCTGCATTAGCAAGTAACTCAACACAGAGGGAGCATGTCAACAACCCATCCACACAATATGCAGTTCAATGCTTTTGCCTCAAACTAGATTTAGCCCAAGTCACGGGACACTAAGCTGTCACTATGTGTAGAAATTGAAAACATTCAAAGGGCAAATATCAGCTTAGGTCCTGGTTGTCCCACCACCAGGGGCTGTGGTGCTTCCGACACGCAGTGTGCAGTTTCCTCTAAAAGAAGGTGAGCTCACACACCGAAACACTCCAAACATGTGCAACACAGGGTAATTCTACCCCGAGGTCAGACAAGCACCACAGCTGTATTGATACAAAAAACTCCACACCACACCAAAAAACCATTCTCCCATCTTTACAGTTTCACCTGCTGCATTGATGCTAGTGATCTGACAGTATGGACTGGAAAACATCAAGCTTAAACCAGAGGTTCAAAGTTTATAGAGTATTTTACAATACAGCACCTATACATACAAGGTTGGGGACATCACTGCAGAACAGTTTGTGAAAGTGTGCATTAACTAGAGATAAGCCTCAAAAGCAGTCTGGAGCTGGAAAATTTTGTTTCATAGCTAAATTTAAATTCTAGAATACTCTCTTGTATTCTGGTGAGTACTACCAGATTAGAGAAGCCTACTTAATACTCAACTACTTTCACTTCTTAACTCATCAGCCATACCAAGTCTACAAGAGGTTTACAGCAACAGAGGCAGAGTTTGATTACCCTCTGTTATCACAATGAAAATAGCTGTTCTTCAGTATAGCTTCAGCCTGTCTTGCTTCTTTATAGCATGTGGGTAGGACAGGGCATCCAGTTGACAAAAAACAACCATGGCAAGTACCATTCTTTTATTACATAAGTACACCTAAGAAAAAAGTTTTCCTTGCACTTTCAATCTGGGGCACTCAAAGTAAGTATTAAAAGTCTTCACATAAACCTACATGTTCTAGTGTTGTGCTCTGAGGGATGAGTTCATCATAATTCATCTAGACCACCAGTATTACCAGCTTAAAAGAGTGGAGAAACAGATTGTTGACTTTTTATTTCCACTAAAGAATTTGATTTTATATTAATGCACATATTACCTGATTGAACATATACAGAACTCGAGTCACATCATTTGCATACTGGCATCTGGAGTAGTCTTCTTCTGCCCAGTACCCTCCCCTGTCGCATCTGCGCCAGGCTCTTCTCTCATCCTGCGAGTTGCCAGGATATATCCCACTGCCTGCAGAGTAACGCGTACACAGCAGGTATGCTGTGATGCCTGCCAATGTTCTAGGCCACCTGGAGAGTCAAAAACAAAAATAATTTCAAAAAATCAGACAAATTTACACGGCAACTAAATAAAAGGATTAAGCACTACAACATGAAATAATAAGACACTCAAAACGAAGCATCTCTAAACTATTTCAAGGGCCACCTTAGCTTGGCTTCAGTATTTTCAAGCTGTTCAGATTTGCATACTATTAACAAAATGTGTTCTAATGCTAGCATGCTTTTTTGGAATTCTTTCATGAGGTTGCAGGTGGAGAGAAAAAAGGTGCTTATAGAATTACTAAAAACAGTTTGCAATTTTTTATTAAAAAACCCTGCCTACTTCATGAAAAATCCTCTATTAACACAATGAAAACAGTTAAATATGTAGCAGAAAGCCCCCCAGGCTTTCCACTTGTCCCATTTACATGCATCAATGTAACTTTCAAATCACTGTACTCATATCAATAATAAACTGCAGATGCAAACAGGAGACTACATTTACAGTAATTAACAAACAGTAACAGTAGTACAACCACTTTGATTTTGCAACCAAACATAATGTCAAATAGAAATTAATGGGAAAATAAAGTGTTCATAAGGTTAAGAAAGTAGAGAAGAATTCCCTTCACTCAAGGCATGTGGAACTAAGCACTTTTAAAGAAGATGTCTAACATTCTCTCAACTTTCTCCTCTGCAATTTTAGTGCATATTTTATCTGTATAACATATACACAGATGAAATAAACAATAAACACATTCAGAAAACTAAACTGCAATACACCTTTAGTGCACCAATCATTCACGAGACCAGAACTGATCCAAAGAAAACATAATAGAAGAAAACCACATGTGAATTAAGCAGTAGTGCTGAGAAGGGAGGACAGGGCCAAGGAAAGCCAACAAGTCTGCCTGCCCCTGCTCCCAGCCATCTCCCCCGTTAAGATACACATTTATTCAGAACGCTAACAAAGTTTAAAAGCAGAGCACATACATACCTAAATTGCAGAATGCTAAGTATCTCAAATCCAGTAACCCAATATATAAGGTTTAACTAAAACTGAGAGCAAAAAAGACCTTCATTTGATCATCCCAGGCTTTCTGTACCATAAGTCAAGTTTCTTGAACAGCCTTTACAACTAACACACTTCTTCTCAGTTTTAAATATTTCAAAGCACCTTACCCAAAGCAGCTGGCTCCAAAAATTGATATGGTCAAACAAAAAACTGTTAGGTTAGATTACACTATGATTTAAAGTTTGCTTTTATATCTGGACTGGGTTTCAGTAAATAGTTGTTTACTCACTAACATCATCTAAAGTAAGAGATGCTCATCACATACCTGTATTAGCAAAAAAAAAAAATAAAATTCTGTGTTTGCAGGAGGATAGAGTAATAATGTTCCATTTCAGGAAACTGAAATTTAAGTAATATTGCCAAAGCAGAGAAACTGAACATGTCAGCTCTTTTTACCTTCCACATTCATCAGTTAAGTAACTTCTTCTACTGAAGACACTGGAATCTATCATAGTTCCTTTCCAAAGAAAAGAACAACTCCAGGGATGGACCAAGGCAAAAGGCTACACTTTTCAGTTATAATAAATTGCGCAAGACATTAATCTCTTGGGGTATACTGAAAGTCTTCTCTATCCCAAACTCCTATTTATTCCTAATCAGATCCAACAGAACAATTTTGGTATGTTCAGTAATGGAATCTTGGAAAGACTCTTACTTCAGGCCATTTTTGCAGATTATTTACGTTTGGGAAACAAGCAACTCAAACCTAGCTGCTGGTGGCATCTTTAAAATGCGCAGGTCATGGCAACAACCTTAAAAGAATTCAAAGTCAGTAAGGAATCTAATGGAAAAAACTCGACAATAAATAGAACAAACCAAAATAGAAATCAAAGGCTAATATTTTACTACCTTTTACAACAGCTTTAGCATTACAAGACAGTTCTCCATATTGTAGTGGCATCATTTAGTTAAGAAATGGAGACATATTAATATGCCCATCACCATAGTATTTGAACACTAGAAAAGACAGAAGATAGTTTGGGTATCATAGCAGAGATTCATCCAGTCTAGCAAATATGCATACAATTATATTCAAAGCCTCAGGAAACACCTCAGGAAATTAACATAAGTGTTACCATTTTGACTGTAACTAAAAGAAACTCTTATACCAGAATTGGCGGCAAGGAAGGTGGTTAAAAGAAAGAAGCAAAAAAGATAAAGAAAGAATTAGCACAGTTTTTTAATGCCAGGAATTCTATACAGGCATTTTAGAGAATGTAAATTAATTCAAAGAACAGCTACAGAGTCTGCAATGGTAATGTAAATTATTTACCATCTTTTCTCACATATAGAAGAAAAGCCAGCAGAAATGAAAAAAAGTCTTCCTTAGAAAAAACACAACAGCCTTTGTTGAACTGCAGCTATCCCAGTAGTCTACCTTAGTGCAACATTACATGCACCCCAGCATGCTAACAAAAACATCACTTTGGATCATGTCTGGCCAACTCTAATCATGGACAGAGCAAGGTCTGAATCTGCTGGGAAGGGAGGAAGGAGTAAGGGGATACAATACATGCAAAGGTATCAAAGTCTCTGGAATTTCTGCATGGACAGATCAAAATAAAGTCCGACCAACACAGACTGGAGAAAAACAAGTACAAAGATGAGCTACTTCTATGCTCCCACTTCCTATGGATATATAATAAGTCTTCAGAGAGCGAAGCCTAAAAGAAAAACAAGCAGATGAGGACAACAAATCAGCTGGCACAGCTGTTAGAAAGCATACAGGGCCACAAAATACCTTGCATAATACACCCAAACCTCAGCTTCCAGAATGCAGAATCAGGTTTCCAGAAACACTGATGCTGGAATGCCACTGCATCATTTCCAAAGCAACTCTGTCAACACTGAAACTTTTATATTAAGTTTTCCACATCAAAGATGCCAATTTGAAAGGAATAACTGTCTCTGTTTTTACGGTTTTCTAAAAGTTGTACTTTTTCAAAAGCATTTTAAGTGAAGTGTGGTCAGCCCAGTTTTGACTGTATCGCCTTACAGACCAAGTGCCAC